TCCTGCACATGACAACTGGAGAGCAGATGGTCCCGTTGCTCTACTTTCTGGATTTTTCTAGGAACTAGAAGAATCCTTATTGAGCCTGTGAAGCACTGAGCTTGGAAAGTCATTATTCACTGTTCTTTGTTGTTTTGGTTTTTTTTTTTCCTGTGGACAGCATCCATTTGTAACATCAGCGAAGCCAGCGTCCACCCTGGCAGCACTCATCATCCTGACGAAGAAGAAGCACGAAGAGACAAGAATGTAACAATCAAGATGTTATCTAGATAACCAACTTTATTTAATAACAATCCTACTCTATTGGATTCGAGAGTAGGACTCTAGAGTAGGATTGTTGAGCAGTTTTGCAGTACAGGTTTATAGAGTAGGATTGTTATTAAATAAAGTTTCTGCAACATCAACTCATTTGCAAGATTCCCCTCCTTCTGACCCCTTCAGAAAACTCAACATTTCCTTCTGAATTGCCTGTTGTTTTTAATTGCTGCTAAGACACACTTATGGCTTCTTTGGTATGGTTTGTGAGTGGGGAAGGCTCTTCTTCATTCATCCTCACCAACCAGACCACACTGCCTTTGCAATGTGACCCACTGGCACGTTTTTGCCCAGCTGTGGTATCTCTATTGAGGCAGAAAGGGCAATAGATGAAGTTTGCAGGCAAAACCAAAGGAACAATGGGGGCAGCCAAGGCATCCTGTGTGGATTCAGGCCTTCAGTCGTGACTCGGGAGCATTTGGGTTCCTGCCACTTGGATTTGTATCCCCAGGTGCAATCTCCGTGAAATAAACAGGGCAGGAGATCTTTCTCCTTTTTAATGCCTTTATTGAAAAGATTCAGCTCAGGCTGGGGAGAAACAAAAGGTCACCCACGCCGCCGCTGCTCCCAGGAGTGGCACAGAGGAGGAGGAGGAGGAGGAGGAGGATGCACCTGTGTCCGCTGGTCTGCAGGCAGAGCTGGGGCTTCCGTCCTCCAGGGAGTAGTGGGAATTCTGCTTTTTCCATCCAACATTCCACATCCTCTTTCTAGTTAACATCTTTTCAGGTTAGGGTGAGAAGTAAAAAGGATCTTAGCAGATACTGGATTAAGTTCCTCACCTTTAGACATTACTTAGGTCTCTTTATTCCATGTTGGGTCGTTGTTTTTAGGGGTGTTTTCCTGGAAAATTGCAAAATCTGGTGAAATGCATTCTCATCTGCATACCAGCTCTGATGTCACTCCCTTCCCCTGCTACCTGCAGGATCCGATGTCACTCCCTGGCAAGCAGCAGGGGGGACAATGGCTGATCAGCAACCATTAACAGGCAATAGAAGAAGAACTCTCAACAACAGGTGACTGCAACATGAAGCTAACCTTCAATTCAACTGCAACTGGTCCAACCTGTTTTAACTCTGCAACCTTAAAAAAAAATTGATAACGTTTTACTCATAACATCTGGCTGGAGGAGAGCCTTGCTTGACACAGA